ACTATCATAAAATCCATCCAAGGTTGCACCAAGGAAACTCTAGATTTGTTGGAAAGGATGACAGAAGGAGATCTAGAAATTTATCTTCGTGATCTACTAAAAGAACGCAAATACCTTGTGGTGGTTGATGATGTGTGGAAGAGAGAAGCATGGAAGGGTTTGAAAAGAGCATTCCCGGACAGCAAGAATGGCAGCAGAGTTATTATCACCACGCGCCAAGGGGATGTCGCTGAAAGAGCAGACGATAGAGGTTTTGTCCATAAACTTCGCTTCCTAAGCCAAGAAGAAAGTTGGGACCTCTTTTGTAGGAAACTAGTTGATGTTCGAGCAATGGTTCCAGCAATGGAAAGTCTAGCTAAGGATATGGTGGAAAAATGTAGAGGCTTACCTCTTGCAATTGTTGTATTGAGTGGACTACTTTCGCATAGATGGGGGCTAGACAAATGGCAAAACGTGAAAGACTGCCTTTGGAAGGACATTGAAGAAGACTCTATTGAAATCTCCTACATACTATCATTAAGCTTCAACGATTTGTCAGCTGCGCTCAAGAAGTGTTTTCTCTACTTTGGTGTTTTTCCAGAAGATCGAGTGATCGATGCTGACGACATAATGTGGTTGTGGATGGCAGAGGGTTTCATCATACCAAGAGGAGAAGAAAGAATGGAGGATGTCGCTGAAGGCTTCTTGAATGAGCTGATAAGACGAAGCTTGGTTCAAGTGGTGGATACATTTTGGGAAAAAGTTACTAAATGTAAGGTTCATGATTTACTTCGTGATCTTGCGATACAAAAGGCATTGGAGGTAAACTTCTTTGACATTTATGATCCAAGAAAGAACTTGAAATCCACTTCATGTATCAGACAAGCCATTCATAGTGAAGGAAAAAGGTACCTCTCATCACTTCATCGTTCTAACTCGAAGTTGAGGTTAATTATGTACTTTGATCCACATTATTTTAATGTGTTCCTACTTATAGATGTGTTCCGACATATATATGTGTTGTACTTGGATATTGATTATGGTGAAGTTATACCTGATGTCATAGGGAGTTTGAACAACCTCAAGTTGTTAAGCTTGAGAGGTGTCCGTAATATTCCCTCCTCCATCGGCAAACTCAAGAATTTACAGACACTTGTTGTTGTCAATATGGACAAATTCTTTTGCCATTTACCCCCCGAAACAGCTGACCTAATAAATTTAAGACATTTAGTTGTTCCATATTCTATACCTCTGGCAGGTATAAGCAAACTCACTAGTCTTCAAGTTCTTCGCGTTGATTGTGATCAGTGGAAAGATGTTGACCCAGTTGATTTAGTCAATCTTCGAGAATTAGAGATGACTAATATATACAAATCTTACTCCCTAAACAACATTAGCAGCTTGAAAAACCTTAACACGCTCATATTGTGTATTTTGCTTGGTCAACAATATACATATCCATTCCCATCCCTTGAATTTGTTAATAGTTGTGAAAAGCTCCAGAAATTGGCGTTAGGTGGGAGATTAGAGAAACTGCCTGTGTTTCCAGATTCCATCACAACGATAAGTCTTTGGGAGTCAAGAATGACAAAAGATCCGATGCCTATTTTGGGAATGTTGCCAAACCTAAGGAATCTCGGATTAGATGCAGCTTATGAAGGAGAAGAAATAATGTGCAGTGATTACAGCTTCAGTCAACTAGAGTTCCTTCATCTTTATTTTCTTGACAACTTAGAAAGATGGCATTTAGGCACAAATGCCATGCCTCTCATTAAAGATCTTGGTATCAATCATTGTCCAAACCTGAAGGAGATTCCTGAGAGAATGAAAGACGTGAAGCATTTCAAACATAAATGAAGTCTTATATGATAATAGGAAAGGTAAATATACAAACACATCCCAATACTTCATTTTTTTTTCTTTTTTATATAAATAATAATATTTTTGTTAAACAAGAGATGAAGACATTCAAGTTGATGAAGATGGGTTGTCCAAGCATCAATCAAGTTTCCGTCACTTTACTGATTTTGTGATTCTATGCAAAAATGAGGATTTTTTTGGTTTTTGGCTTCTTTTTTAGTGTGTGGAATTGGTTGGAAGAGATTTTTTTTTGGGGGAAGTGGGGGTGGGGGGGGGGAGGTGGGGATTGTATGCAAAAATGATTTTGTGATTATTTAATTAATATGCATCTAGTATACAATAATATACATCTGGTACAATAATATACAAAACTTTTATATTTCTTTTTTACAAAATATTGTAAAACTTGATATACAATGTTTATACACGATATTATACGAAATCATAAGAGGTATATATATATATAAAAGAGAACCCTATGCCCGCCTACGTGGCATCATCACAAATTAATATTCCCTATATTTGTTCACACTACCCTTTGTTGTCTATAAATAGAGGGATTTCCTCTCATTTTAAAACAACGAAAATTTTGAACTTCTTCTTCTTCTGCACAATTAAATATTATTTTTGTATCAATACACTGGTGAATAGAATCATTTTATCCTGAGAAGATCTATTCCTTTAAACCTTGGGTATTAGAGGGGAATAATTTTCTTATAGGAACACTATGCATTTAATGGGCTCAATTTTTTCCAGTCTGTTTCATTTTATTGTTACAGATCCTATTATGTTTGTTTTAAACTTTGTTGTTTATGTTACTGCAAAGTTATTGTCAGTACAAAATTAAATAACACACGTTAATTGAGTATTCATGCAAGTTTTCTCTACTGAAATTTTAG